TCCCACCATATCTTTCTATGAGTTTTGCTGTTCTGTGTCTATGTTTAGTGCAGAAAAAATATGCTGGGCTTGAGCATATCAGGGATGGGGAATCTATGGCCTTCCTGTTATTGTTGGACTACAGCTCTCAGCATTCCTGGTCATTGGCCATGCTAGTTATGGCTTAGGAGAGTCTATTTAGAAGGCTATAGGTTACCCCCACTTCCTCTGTTGGCCTACATATCACAGTCTCATAATGGTGAGTGAGTGACCACTGGAGATGGGGGTATTCATATACGAATACCCCCCACAGGTGGAGATAGCGATGGTCCAGCCCCATGCGGTCGGATGGTCCACTCACCAATGCGCTAATGCCATGGGGTCCGTGCTTTCATCCTATCACGCTGGTGATTGAGATCACCGAGCCACTCCTGGCAGGAGGCGGGATGACAAGTCTCTCTACCAAGTCGAAGAGTGGCTTGGCGATCACAATCTCTGGTGTGATAGGATGGGAGCACGGACCCCGCAGCATTAGCGCATTGGTAAGTGGACCGTCCAACCCCATGGGGCCAGACCCTCGTTATCTTCACGCATGCGGGGGTATTCGTATACAAATACCCCCATCTCTAGTGGCCACTCCTGACTTCGCCATAGGATTAGATGACTCAAATTTTCTGATCTGTTTCTCCAAGGCTAAGATTCCATGAAATGGAAAATGATTCCAAGCTTACTTAACATATCTAGAATAGTCTTTCTTAATTTGTTGATAATTTGGTGCACAGCACAATGTCTCAATGCTGAACGTCAAATTATATTGTTCCATACCTTTCCCATTTTCAGGGGGGAGTGTTGAGGAGAGATCTAACATGCATTATGTCTAAGGCCACTAGCCAAAGAGGCAAAATTCTGGGTTGGGTAATATTTTTAGTGGATCACTGAAAAACATTACAAGCAGGGCAAGCTTACGAGTTCCACACAGCCCATCAGGCAACAATGGTGTAAAATTTGGAGTGAGCTCCAAGCCATGCTTTTATTTGCAAAGAGAAGTGATACAGCAGGTTGCTATGTTTGTTAGCTTTGTCTCATGTGGAATCTGCAAACTCTGTCCTGCCTTGTAGGCAGTCTGTGGGTGTTGTATCTGGCCAGAGGCTGGAACTACTTGCTTTAGCGTCAAATGTTATGCCTCGCTATGTTTTTAACTTTGTAATGATCCAATAAAAGGATTATCCAACCCTGAACTATGGCCAGTGTCCTCTTGCTAGCCACACCAAAATTCATCCATTGAGTCAATGGGATTGACATAAGCATTGAATTATTATTCAACAAGGGACTCACTGGGTCTACTTTTTCTTGAAAGAGGCAACAGGGTGCTAACCAATGTTTCTATGGATGGATTGCATGACTATTTTTAGCCAGAGTCAGTTAGTTTTGTATATAACCTACATCTGCACATGAATGTCTCCTGGTTTAGATTCAAATCTGTGGGCTTACATAAGATGCTGGGGTCTTTTTGGATTTCTGAATCCTTTCCTAGGTCCTTATTTAGGCTCTCTGTTACATCAATCACCTTAGTCAATGGGAGTGTCTAGCAGAAGCCTGCTGACTTGGCAGATTAAAAAGTGACTTATATACTATACTCTTGTATGTTAGATAAAAATAGGAGTGCACTACACTTTCGTTGCAGCTACACTCCTACTGCAAGGATCACTACCTGAGACACATCAAACACCTTACCAAAACAGCGGTTTATCATGTTTTTAAGGTTAAGAATGATTATAAGAAGTTTGCAGCTTAGAATATAACAGTATCTTGTTTTATCTGGTCAGGCAGTTATGAGCTTGCAAGGTATAGAACAGGGATAGAACCGCATGTGTTTTGGCTACAATCTCAGTCAGCCCAAGGCAGAATGGCCAATGGTTAGGGATAATGGACATTGTAGTCTAGAACATCTGGAAGGCACTATCATTGTTACTCCAGGTATAAGAGAAGCAATGCACTGGAAGTTTTTAGCTACATATGTGCTTTTATGTGAACATATTAGCAAATGTTTTGGCTAGATGTTGTGAGCACCTCCAAAACAGAGAGATCACACAGGAACTAATTTATTCAGGACAGGTACAAGAAAATCATGCTTTTCCAGAAGAAGCCCAGATCTTGAGTCTTGCCTTCTCTTCCCCAAGGGACTGTTATGTTTCCATTTGCTAAGGAAACTCTAAATACAGGTTGTATATTGAAGACCTTGTTTCCTCTGGCCTTCCCCCCCCTATATTTAGGACTTTTGTTTTCAATCTTAGCCCTCATTCCCTGATTGGCCTAGTAATAGAAGCATACCATATCTCATGAAAAGAGAAGACTCCCTGGAAAAGACCCTGATGTTGGGAAAATGTGAAGGCAAGAGAAGATGGGGACAGAGGATGACATGGCTGGACAGTGTCATCGAAGCGACCAACATGATTTTGACCAAACTCTGGGAGGCAGCAGAATACAGGAGGGGCTGGCGTGCTCTGGTCCATGGGGTTATGAAGAGTCAGACACGACTTAATGACTAAACAACAGAAGCACACCTACACAGGTGTAAAATTTGCATTCCTAAACTGTGTTTTCTATCCCATGTGAAGGGTGGATAATTTAAAATGGGCAAATAATGTCAGGCCTTTGTGAAGAAGATTCAGGCCTTTGCATCTGCCCCTCCCTCAAATATGCCTTACCACATACAAGGACGAATGAAGAAAGCATGTCCCAAGAATAATGGAGGTAATGGATGGGCTGCCAGCCCTTCCTGCTGTGGCAATTTTGAGAGGATGATGTGTTATATACCACCCTATTTGCTGTTGTGATGAGCTTTAGACATCTCCCATTATTTATTGCACAAGGCTCAGAAAATAGTAGAGGTCACCCAAATCAGATGAAAGGAGCAAATGGGAGGAAGAGTGTCTCTCTATGTGCACATGAGAGAACAAGAGAGCGAGAGAGAAACAAACAAACAAACAAACCAAAACCCCATGGGAGACAAACAAACAAACAAACAAACCAAAACCGCAGGTAGTTTAAATAATAGATTTAAACAGACAAAGGATAAAAATGGTAATGCATCTTTAAAATCATATAGGACTTTTTTTTTTGCTACTTTCTCTTTTTGAGGACAGGGTTGCTAAAAAGACTAAACATATACATCTATTCCCATGGAGATCACCCTCAATCAGGCAGGGAACTTTTATAATCTTTCCAAGTGGGAAAACTGATAAAATGACATTTAATCTTGATTTTGCTTTTTAAAGAGAGAACTATGCATGTATTTCTTTTTGCAGCATGACAGCAACTCCTGAAATATATATTTGCAGCTGTTTTATGTCTAGAGCTTGGAAAAGTTCCTTTTTTTCAGACTATAATATGACTGTGCTGCCTGAGTTGTGGAAGCTGTAGTTCCTGCTCCAACCCCCTCCAACCCTTATAAGCTTTGTTTATGTCAGCCAAACAAATATGCACTTGCTATCACATTGGTAGTAATGAAAAAGTGCAGCATGTTAGTAGTGCATTGGAGCTAGAGTTAGAAAAGAAATGTTGGTTTTATTTTCATCTGCACAAATATCCACTCCATACCTTTGAAGACTGGCAATGCAACAAAGTGCAACTAAGTTTTAGAATGTGCTCATTTGTGAAGGATGTGGTGCAATTCAGAGGAAGAATTTTAAACAATGCACCAGTTTAAACAATGGCATTAAGTAAAAATACACATATTTTTAAAAAGCACAAATGAAAAAAATATCTGAAGAGGAGACAATAGGCATGTTTGGTTTACATTCTTAATAGAGATTTTGAGTCCAAAAATGACTCCAAGTACAGTTATGAGTTATTTTATACCTAAAAATTCAGTGAAAAAATTATCATCACCTTACCAGTTCTGTATTCCTGAGTGCATTATAGTAATACCTATATGTATATGCAACCAAGAAATTAGTACAAGACTGTGACTAGGAAGGACAGCAACGAAGGGACCAGAAAAAAATCATCAAGTGTAAGAATGTGTCGGACAGCAATGAAGGGACCAGAAAATTCATCAAGTGTAAGAATGTGTCACTGGACACCAAGATCAAGATCATCCACACTCTTGTATTCCTGATCATCATCATGTATGGGGGTGTAGAAGCTGGACAATCAAGAAAACTGATCGGAAAAGAACTGATTTGTTTGAAATGTGATGCTGGAGGAGAGATTTGCAGATATCCTGGACTGCCAGAAAGGTGAACAAGTGGATCCAGTATCAAATCAAGCCTGAACTATCTATCTCTAGAGGCAAACATGTTGAAGTGGAGGCTGTCCTACTTTTGGCACAGAGGCAAACATGCTGAAGTGGAGGCTGTCCTACTTTTGGCACCATATGTTAAGGCAGAATTCTCTGGAAAAAACAATGAGGCAGTAAAAGGTGGAAGGCGATAGGAAAAGAGGAAGAGCGAAAGGTGGAAGGCGATAGGAAAAGAGGAAGACCAAATATGAGATGGGCTGACTTCTTAAAGGAAGCCACAGGTTTGAGTCTGTAGGAGCAGAGCACAGCTGTTGAGGACAGGACATTTTGGAGACTGCTGATTCACAGTGTCACCCTAAGTCAGAGGTGAAGTGAGGCATATGACAACAACAACATGTAACAAATCATGCAACATAAAATAATTGCAGAACGATTTATATTTTGTGCCTGCAGAAGCAAAAACTGCTGATAGGAGCAACATTCAGCATTCTGAAAATATCCACCTTCATTTAAAAAAATGTAATTCCCTGCTCATGAGGCTAGAAAGACAGGCTGGACATATACATAAGCAATCTAGTGTTCTTCAGAGCAGGACATGAACCAAGTAGCAGATTGTTGTTGTTTAGTTGTTAAGTCGTGTCCAACTCTTCGTGACCCCATGGACCAGAGCACACCACTTCCAGGCCCTCCTGTAAGTAGCACATACACACTGGTATTCACTGCATAACTGCCTATAGTTCGCCATGATTTAGATATGAATAGGTAAAACAGTCAAATATATACACATGGGCACAATTTATTCAGATTTTAGAATCCAGCTTTTCATGGCACGAAACTGTAGTATTTGGTTTAAAGTGCACAGTACAGAGAGCTCACAGAATGAGCTGTTTCCCAAGTTAAGTACAATATGAAAAAAAAACAGTGCAAACCAATCTATTGTCCACTCCTTGTATGCATTTTCAACTTGGTCTCTTTTTGTTTCCTTTGAATATAGGGAAGTAGCAAGGAACCATCTATTTGGGGGTGAAATGAGTTGCCTGGCCCATTAAGCTCTTTTGGATACTTGAGAACAACTTTTAAGGGACAATGAATCAATATGTGAAAGATAATTCTTTAAAATTCAGTAAATTGTGGGAAATAAAATGCATAGACAGAAGACTCCTTCTTTACAACTGATATCAAAGCCCTTGACTTTTAGATAATAGTACTTCTTTTTAGCCAAAAGAAAACTTCAGTGCTAATATAATGTGAAGAAGACTTTTAAAAACTTGATATATGTTATTTTTATTTTAAAAAAGAGTTATGGTGTAATGATCTCAACCTTGCAGGTTTAAACTGTTTCCTCAATTAGGTTTTGATTAGTTTCTATTAGGTTTCAGCATATAACATTTAAATAAACTGATCCCAACCATCAAACACAAAGATCTACTGATTTCAACAGCAGGAGCAGCATCTTTGATTCAATTAAAATGCCCACATTAAATCACACACGAGCCCTCTCCCAAATGCCTCTGTTGGAGTGAGGATTTCAACAGCCCTCCCAAGAATGAACATCCCTAGGAGCCCAGGGTCAAACAGCAGTACTGTATTCATGTTAAGCACCTCTTAGGACACCCAAACAGTCCAAGGAAAGGCTATCACAGATATATTCACAGACGCCATCCACAAGCAGATAAATGCCCTCAACTCCTTTGGTTGCAGTTTCATTCCCTTTGGAAAATGATTCAGCTGGAGAATATTGCAATAAAATAACAAAAAGAAACAGTCTTGTGTAATACACGGCACAAGCCATTGTCTACACGGTTTGAGACAACGTCCTTGTCTTTCTTTCTTCAGCAGATTTATTCCAGAGCCTGCGCAGTGAAGGCAATTTGATTTTATCCATATTTTTGCTGTAAACATTAAGAAATATACCAAGGACAACTAATAAGCCGGACCACACATACCTAATATGGAAAGAAAGAGAAACATTCCATTAACAACAGCATAGACTTGGATGTTAAGCATCTTGTGGAAAGGAAAATTGTAAGTTTAGAACAGATAAGGGAGCAATTCTGATTAACAGGGTGGATATACACTATTTATATTTCTACTACATCAGGAAATCACTATTACAAAATCAGCTGGCTTGATGATGGAGTGGGAGCCAGGTGTTGGAAGTTTGATTCTCTTCTGTGTTCCCCAGAGCCGGCATACATAGCATTGGGCAAGTTGTACAGTTCCAGATTGCCACCAGAAGGAGGGACTGGAAAACCAGTCAACTGGAATGCCAATTGGTCACTCAGGCCAAGTCAGAATTTGAAAGAATTCTAAAGACATCTGGCTTCAGAAACATGCAAAATGTGTCACTGTATGAAAGCCGTTTCAAAATTACTCCTGAGAGCACAGATGTAAAATTTCCAATGTACTGTAACAATAGCTATTTATTCATGGACTGCTAGGCACATGCACACATAGAAAGAGATGCATTGGTCATAGAATGGATAGACAACACAAAAAACAGCTATTTTCAAAGTTATCCTGATTTTGAACTGAAATAAGAAGCACAATACCAACAATCTACTATCAACCAGTTTTTTTTTTTTTAAAGCAGGGTCTTCTTATCTTTTGTTATGTACTGTCACACTGCTTCCAATTTATGGTGACCCTCAAAATTTTCCAGATGTATGAGATGTTCAAGGAGTGGTTTTCCATTGCTACCCTTCAGTGAGTTTCCACTGCTAAACAGGGATTTGAACTCAGGTCTCCTCAATTATAATCCAATACTCTATCCAAAACATCACATTGCCTCTCAACTTTTATCTTACAAGTGGGCCATAATTTGTCAATTCCATGGCTAACTTTATATTAAGAAAGTTTTGTGAACAGCTTTGAAAAAAGCCATTATTAAAACTATATAAATAAACTATCAGAATTATTTATAAGCTGCTTTGGCTCCCTACATAGGGAGAAAGATGGCAAGAAAAAAAAGATATATAAAATAAAATACTGTATTTTTCCATGTAGAAAACAACACTTTTTCCTAAAATAAAAGTGAGGGTCATTTTATACAGAGGGGGGGGATTAAAGTGTTTTGATCCCTGCTTTCCCCCATCCACTTTTTGCAAAGAAAGTGGATGGAGAAAGCACACCCTTCACTTTCTTTGCAAAAAGCAGCTTTTTGCCAAGAAAGTGGAGGGGGAAAGCAGAAATCAAAGCGCTTCCTCCTCCACTTTCTTGCAAATAAAGAAATTTTGGGTTAGAAAGGTGGGGGGTGTTTTATACACAGAAAAATACAAATACACTAAATATTATATTATATTAACAGTTATGTAGACACGTGAGTCATACTTACTGGAATGTGAATGGCTTTGAGAAAAACAGAAATGAGAGTACAATTGTCATTGCTTTTCTTCCTGTTGTTACTGAAGAAAAAAAAAGCATTAAACATTTCACTCTAGTCCAACTAAGATATATCTTTTAATGCACTGGCATAGAAGTGCCATGCAAACAAAGAGAGACAATTTCACATCTTGCTCCTATTTAGCTGCAGTAGATTAACTGACTTGGTGACCCGCAAGACAGATAAAGTAAGGGTGCAATCAGATGGCTAGAAAGATGTGCATCCAATCGTACTGGAAAGGGACACTTTGGAGAGAGTGATCTCCCTTAAAGTGGTATTTCTGTCTGCTGGGCAATTGCTCCTCACCCTCAAAAGTAGTAGCCCTACAGATGAACCAAAAAGGTTCAGCTTGGGCACAGATCAGGGTTTGGCTGGAGTTCAATTCCTTGTAAGTTGTGTGATTGCGGGGAAACAGATTGCATTGGACTGCTCCATAAGTAGTCCAAAATGCAGTCTATTTTTCTGTGTGATCTCACCCTTAGCTGATCTAAGTCTCAATAAAATGTAAAGATTTTAGTTAACACAACAATTAACTTGTCATGTTGCTTTCATGACAGATGTACTATTAATATTTCCTGAATTGGGAGTCAGAGGCTGCTTTACACCTGGAGAACTGTAAAGATGTAACAATGACTGAATAAAAAGTGTCCAAAGAATCATAGCAAAGTTATCCTAGCAGTAACTTTTCTAGTATTCAGCAGACTACAGACAGATACAATATGGAACACTATTCCATATTACTACATATCAAAAAACCAAGACAGACAGAAAATCTGCTTAATCCAGAGCTGTAGCCAATGTTGGTAGAAAGCTCTATTGGCAGGCTTCTGCAGATAGCATGATACCTGCAATGCATGAAAATGCTTGTCCTGGCAGTTTCAATGCTATCAGTATGTGGCTGGTAAAAAGGCAGAAGGAAGACAGGAAGAACATAGCCAGAAACATTGCAGAAGAGAACCTGCATGTTCATGTAGGAGGCTTTGGGTTATTCGCTGTTTTAGTTCCAACATTTGATTGTAACAGGGTATAAGTAAACAAACAAACAAAAAAGAAGCACATGAAATATACTTTGCTTATATAAGAGCAAGAGTGGCTTTCGCCACATGGGCAGTATTATAAACTGACTGACTGAATGAATAAGATTCATTTGCTACTCAAGTAGGTTGTTCTTACACCACATTCAATATCTCATAAACCTACTATTTTCTTGTGATATGCAATTTAATTAATTAGCAGAAGCCATTTAATTGGTCACTGATGAATAGCTGTTCTAAAAAATAAAGCAGGATGCTGGCCGAACACTCTAGCTCCCGTCCACAGTAACCTCTTCAACCCTGGCACCTTCAGGCATTTGCACAATGAGGCAGACTTCGCAGGGCGACTGACTATGCACGGTGGAATTTCCCTTCAGGCACAACAATGTCAGCAAATTATGTTGTTCAGGCTGCCTGTCAGTCTTCTGCTTTAGCAGAAGATTTTGTAGTTATGAAGCCTTTTATAGGACCTCTTATCAGCCTTTCGCCACACCGTATATCTGTCTCATTCTGCCACAATCCCTTGCAATGAAATAATAGGCAGCGGTAACACAGAACTTCTCCTCCCCAATGGACAGCCAAAGCACTTCTTTTATGAATGTGTTAAATATTTTATTCCCATTTGAAAAATGAAACATGAAAGCACAAGGAGGCAACGTGATTTGTCCAAGGTCATCCAGGTGTTTGTTGCCAGAAGTAAAATCAAAACCTAGACTTCAACTGTAAAGAAGAAAAGTCATCAATTTATTATTCTTTCTTCAAAGATTAATAATTTTTTTTAGTTTAAATGCATATATGCAGAGGAAAATTAAGCTGTCAATGGGTCAGGCTAATTCCACAGGGCCACTTTAGCTGCTGGGCGTGATGGGAAATGTTAAGACTGCTGCAATTGTCTAGTGAAAATGGCCATGGCAGCTTTCACTAGACAAATAAAGCAATAACATGCAGCATGGCTCTCACTCATCTTTTAAACCTCTAGACTGAAGCAGGGCAGATGCTGGCACTTAGGTATAGCCTTCACCTGGCACTTCAGAAGTTATCTGCCACATGCGTTCCCCTTTTAGCCTTGCTCACATACCCCACTACAAGGCTAAAGAAAAAGGCCTTGTAGTAGCTACAGTTTCTTTATATGCAGATCTCAGAATGTCTGGAAATCTTGAGAGAAATATTTAATGCATTTTTCACTGAACTACAAAGCACACAGTGGAAGATCCATTTCCTCTTCAGTGCAATGCTAGTGGCTACGTGGACTGCTGTGGATGGACGGCTCTCCTTCCATTCCTTATGTGTAAAAAGGGAATTTAATGGAGATGAAATAATCTAACCTTCCCAAAGAGAAATGAAGTGTGGGGAGACTGAAGTACATGTACATTTTAATGTACAAAGGCCAGTCCACAAAGTCTGTTTGACTAATATATCCTGAATCCTTCTACAACAAGGTTGGACAAAGTGTGACTGCTCAGGTAAGTTGGACAACTCCCAGCATTCTTCACTATGCTAGCTAATTCTAGTGGGAGTCACGGTCTAACAATATCCACATGACCACAAGGTTAAGGATAGAATTTTTTCCAGGGTTTTTTCAAGATGTCGATGCTGAGACTATTTGATTTATATAATTGCAGATAAACCCTCTGTCTAGTAACTCAGATGTAAGCCCCATTAATTTCAATGACTCTCAGGGACATCTCTTTGTCTTGAGGCTGGAGAGAAAAGAGAACACTAGGTCAAAACAAAGTCTACGTGTTTCTAAGGCACAGAGTCCCTTACTCCAGGAATTAAAAAAAATTGTCCTGAACAAAAGGACAGGAACCAGAGAAGAACTAATGTACATGCTGTACCCAACAGCGAGCTTTTATTAAATTCTACTAATAAAATATGAACTATTTAATACCTGTTACAGCTAAAAGAGCCCCGAAGATTTTAATCAAAGCCAATACAAAAGAGATTCCAAAATAGCCAGTCAAGGAGAACAAGAAGGCGTAACCATATGTTTGAACTGGATGCTGCAGGAACAACAAGAATAGCAACAACACATTATTAGGAAAAGGAAAAACAAAATTGAGGTGCTGCAGAGTGAAATAAATATCTTCAATCCATTGCTGAAATTAAAAATTGCTTTAAGCATTCAAATCTTTTACTTAATTCTGACTGTATAATTTGAAAAAGCAACAATGAAATTATAAAAACCAAAATGAGAGAGAAAAGAATAAAAAGTAGAAATTGATGAGGTTGGGTATATGTAACAGTTTTCAAGCTTAAATAAACAGTATTACACTATGGTCCTATGTTTCCACACTCAGCTATTAGTCCCTATTAGAATTAGATGACTTTAAATGGCTTTTGAAACATATACATGTTGCTTATGGGATTCCAAACTTAATTAATGAATCATACAATTTACTTTTATTATTTTGAATATATCTATTGTACTAGTCCCTGTAAACAGGTAAAAGCTATTAATACAGTTTAGTCCACAGTAATCAAAAGTACAGTGGTGCCTCGCATAGCGATGTTAATTGGTGCAGCAAAAATGCCGCTAACCGAAAACATCGCAATGCGATTTAAAAAACCCCATTGAAATGCATTGAAACCCCTTCAATGCGTTCAAATGGGGGCAAAACTTACCTTTAAGCGAAAATCCTCCATACGGCAGCCATTTTCGCTAACCGGTAAGCGAGGAATCCGTCCCAAAAAAGAGCGGGTGGTGATTTTTTCCCGGCAGCCATTTTGGAACTGCCGATCAGCTGTTGGAAAAAATCGCTATGCGAAAATCGATAAGCGAAACAGCTTACTGATCATCGCAAAGCAATTTTTTACCATTCAAAACATAGTTATGCGATTGCTTTTGCGATCGCAAAAACCTAATCACTATCCGGATTTGTTGTTAAATGGGACGCTCATTAAGCGAGGCACCACTGTAATAAAAAAACATACAGATGATCCCCTTTAATGCCAGACTGACAGAAATGCACTTACCTTTGAACAAAATGTTACTGCAGGAGTTAAGCCGTTAGTGCATGTCAGTCCCAATAAAATGTACAGAAAACCTATTGAATAGGAATACAAAACCTGGAATAGTTACAAAAACAAGTTATTTAACCTTGCAATAGCCTACAGAAAACTGTAACTGTGTACTTTGTGATTCTGCGACTACATTTCTTTGCTGATAAAGTCTCTTTTGAAAGTTACATTTCTCAACCAAAAGACAGGTAAACTCACACAGTAAAATGACACATTTGTCTTTGAGTGACTAAGGAAGGATAGGACAACACTAGCAGCAGGAAGTGAGCTAATGTGTCTGGGAACATCCAGGCTTGATTATAACAATATAATCAAGTTTGACCATTCACATGGACATAGCTCTTGCCAATATCATGAAGTAGCTTAACAAGTGAGCTACAGTACTTTAAGATATTGGCAAATTAATCACTTCTCCTGCTCAGTAGATGGCAGGGGAAGTGAAAATTTTTTTTTTAACTGTGTATACATATTTGTTGATGCCTGTATCAGTTGTTTTTTAAAAAATTAAAAATATTTTTTGACCATTCACATGGAAATAGCTCTTGCCAATATCATGAAGTAGCTTAACAAGTGAGCTACAGTACTTTAAGATATTGGCAAATTAATCACTTCTCCTGCTCAGTAGATGGCAGGGGAAGTGAAAATTTTTTTTTTAACTGTGTATACATATTTGTTGATGCCTGTATCAGTTGTTTTTTAAAAAATTAAAAATATTTTCTCTTAAAGGGCCAGTTGAGAAACTGCCCGCAGATGAAGCCACTGCTGTAGATTTTGTTGGAATATGGCAAGATCCAGCATTCTACCCATTATGGGTTAATGTGCTTAAAAACCTCAACTGCCCCTTTTTTTCAGTGAGCGGATTAACTGTTTTCGTCTCTCTCTCTCAAGCCCACACTTCACTGGTGCGACCTCAACTGCCCCTTTTTTCAGTGAGCGGATTAATTGTTTTTGTCTCTCTCTCAAACCCACACTTCACTGGTGCCTACTGACTGAGTGAGGCAGAGACCGTGTGTGCTTGCTTAAGTTTGAGGGCATTGCCTGAGCTGCTGCCGCCCTATTTGCTTTTACTGTTTGGTATGTTTTGTCATGTAGCTTTAGTAGTTTTATTGTTTTCTTAGGATGTCCTGTTCACCTTTTCCTAAGAGAATTAGATAAAGATTATTACTTAATTTTTGCCTCAGTGTCTCAAATTTCCCCCCTCAGCTTTGACTGTGGGTGGGTTCTCAAACAGCCCCTTAAGGTGAGGCAAAGAAAATATTTTTTATAACTGATTCAACGCAAAGATGTCATTTGATCAATGTCTTTAAGAGTACAGAAGCCCACCCCTCCGAGCAGTAGGCTAAACAGCCCGTGAAGCAGCAGGCCAAACAGCCAGTCAGGCTCCAAATTAAAACAGCAATTGATTCCCAAAAGATGGCCTTCTGTTGACTGATCTGCCATTTCATGCAGCCAAAGTACATCATGCCAGTTACATTGTTATCCTGTAAATATAGACAATGTTTGCTTGAGTTTTACATCCTGATTGTCAATCCACAAAAGTTATATGTTTGTTTATTATACCCCTTTAGTGCCATGCATTATTCTGGGCGGCTCACAGAAATTGAAAACATGTAATAATATTGTACTAAATGAGCGGTTCAAACACAACAGAAACTTCAAGAGGCATACAATGAAGAATAAAACATGGAATGTGAGGGAAATAAACAACTACCAGACAGGAGAAAGAAACAAACAAGCAAACACATGCATCAAGCAGGGTAGCCATAAAAAAAAGCCTCTGTAGAGCGGTGTTTTAAAGTGCCTTTTAAATGTGAAGTGAAAAGTGAAAGTATTTTAGTCCATATTCTTATTTACATGTTAGAGCAGGGATCCCCACCCACGAATGTGCCACGCCCACCCACGAGTTTAGGGGGTGCCCCCCTGTACACGGACCTCACCCCCCCCAACCAGTCCATGGTTTCAAAAAGGTCGGGGACCACTGTGTTAAAGCACAAGGTCAAGTGCATCACATTTTGAATTCACATATTTACATCGAATTCACAAGGTCTCCATTACTGCATAAAACCCAAATTGTTTCACAAAAGGACTGCAAGTTTGATTGGAGAGGGGTGCGAAGTCATTTCATTCTTTCCCTGCATGTTGCTATAACAATACACCACCCTTAGATTGCTGTTCTTCCCAGTGAGGCAATCTGCTTGCCCATATGTATAATTTTGATTAGGCAAACAGCATAGAGAAAAAGTTTAAATCACGGCTTCCTCATGGGTTGCTCTGCTTAGTCTTCACTGCCACATGCCAAAGGAGCAGCTTAGTCTGCAAGGCTTCCTATTTGTTCTACTGCATTGCTAGAATAACCCAATGGTGGCATTCTTCTCTCTGATAATATGCAGCAGAGCACAATGATGCCAATGAAGTTTTAAGTCTGAATTGATAGTATAATTGTTGGTTGTAAAATACATCTTTCACTGATGAATTTTCATAAAGTTGCTGCTTGTGGTTGCATATTTCTAATGAAAAAGTTTCATTTCTCTTGCCATTCTCTTAGGCTATGGCAGCAAACTATATCAGACAAGAAAAGTCCAGTTTTAGGTATCATAGCCGTAAGCACAGTAACCTGATTTAAAATAGAAGGACACACACACAGGAGGGCTGAACAGAACTACAACCAGTAGCTCTTCATCAAATGAATGACATCACAGAAGGAGAGCATTTACCATTTCAGAATTTGAACCATTGTGCAACTTCATAGCCTTTTCTTGGACATTTCCTATAACAGCATCGGCACAGAGGGCAAGGGATATAAGGACCACTCCTTTAAATAATCAGAAAAAAGGAAAATAAAATCATGTATTTTAATATTATGTAGCAGTAGAAAAACAACAGATATTCTGCAAAGTTAAATTCAGCCAAATATATAAACCAGACAGGTTAAATCCAATAGAGAGTCGCAGCTGGAAAAGGCCTCTTGAATCAATTTGATGGGCACTTTTAAAACTCAATTAAAAACATGGCTGTACATTCAAGCCTTCCCTCCAGCTAATACCTGATTTTCTGTTTATTCTCCCTTTATTTATTTTCTATTCTATCTTTGTGTTGTATTTGTCATAGTATGTGGTCATGTGGGCGGGGTATAAATAAAATAAAATAAAATAAAATAAATAAATAAATAAATTCTGTTTATTCAGTGAGTTGATTCTAGTTGGGGATAACTGCTCAATTTAGCACTCTTTTTCAAAAACTCTATACTACCAAACTAGAACAGAAACATATACCAAGTGATCACCTCTCCTGCTTAGAAAATCTTAGCAGTATAGGAAAATATTTATTTTAAACATTTATCTGTGAAAAGTTCTAAATAAAAGATTTACAATCTCTATACCCATTTGTAGGGAAAATCCTTAAGTTTGTTTATTAGGTAAGGGAAAACAAACAACAACATGGCAGAAGTAAAGGATACCTGCTGAAGATTTTAGTTTGTCTTGATAAGCATGCTGAGACCAGGATCTAAAGAGACACCCTTGGCAGGGGAAGTGTAATTTCTAATATTTTCCTGTTTTCAACAGCAATCTTTCCTTCACACTATACAGAAACTTCTTTAGAAACTCACCTCATGTTTGTGAAAAAATGCCGCATGACATGAGAGGTGGCTGCTGAACAAGTCAAAGACCAGTGTCCTTCAGCATGTATTAATTTGGCATCCAGAACTACTGGCAATTTATAAGATAAAAGTTCATCCAAAATCACTAACTATACATTTTCTTTCCACTGGCCAAAATCCTGTTGCTAAGTGTAGTAAATTGCACTAGAGTAGGCACGCTGAATCAATGGAGATTTGGCATGTCAACTTCTCCATAAGTTCCTCTGATTCTAATAGGCTTATTCTAACTGCAACTTACTAGTCTGGGACAAACTGAACACATTTATCTTTTTGCTTAATAGTAACATTAACATTACCATATATGGCAAGGTAGTGGTGGGGATGGGGAAATACAAAAATGCCTCTGGAGCCCTATGTGGCCTGGAATTTTCCAGTTTTTACCTTAAAACATAAAAGCAGGGCACAACTAGAGTAACCCTGTTCAAATCAATGAAACATGATCTAAGTCGCAACTAGGGTCAGCCTATTCAAATCAATGGAACTTACAGAGGACTAACCAAATCCTCATTGATTCAATGCATTAACTCTGCTGTGATTTAGTACGTTAAGCTACTGAAATCTGGTCAATGTTTCAACCTCTATTAAAAAAAAAATCAAATTTTTACATTTGATGTAAGTGAGGATTAATGCATACCCCCAACTCCGACACTTCTTCCCTATCCCATACAGAAGGTGAAATGTTATTATTAGTTTGTTTCTATAGATTACCTATACTACTGTAGGAGGTGGGTAAGTAAAGAAGGAAACTAGAGAAAAACATCCACATAAACATGCCTCTTGCATTGGACTGTCTATTATTTATATATAAGAAAGTTCCTACGCCCTTTGCTGAAACTGTAATGCTGTAAAACCACTGCTGTAACACATATGCAGAATTCTTAAAACCAGATATTTCTATAGGTTTGATTTCATTTTTGTGTACACAAAATACGGCTTACCATTTCCTTCAATATTATTAATAGAGGCTTAAATCTAATTTTCTACTTTGTGCTGGAGACAATACTGATAATATTGTTTATACTGTAAATTCACTCAGCTTATTTTTCTAACATTTTGTATCAGTAAATTTACGAGTTCTGTTTACTTCAAAGTTCAGTTCTGTCTCCTTGAGCAAAGCTGTCACATGTAAATGGATTTGCCCTTGGCAATGTGTATGTTTAAAGAATTTCGATTAAATTGTGAGTCAAGAAATCCTCCAGCTAAGAATCATACAAGCTGGAGTGCAGATACTTCTACTGCAATTTGGCTATAAACTAGTAGAAAGAAACCATATGCTATCTATAGAGGCATCCAATGCACGGCAATTCAGAAGCAAGTCTCATTAAGTTCAGCGGGACTTACTCTCTGGAAAATTATATCAAGGAGTTCAAGCTTAGGGATGAGCTGATTTCGGAAACTTCATTTTAGGAGCCAGGAAACACAATTTTAAAGAATGAGGACAAACTGAATGTTTTTTCACTTAACAAGAGTATTAACATTACCATAACATGGCAAGGTGGGGGGAGGGGATGGAAATATACAAAAATACCTCTGGAGTGAGCATAAGTGGCCTGGAATGTCCAAGTTTTGCTTTAAAGCATAAAAACATGAAGAGCTTACAATATAAAGATGGACAGAAATTGCTGGTTAATGAGGGATGAATAAAGTACCCTGGGAAGCCTCAAGATCAAGCAAAATCTTTACATTTTCTGCCACTCATTTCTCAGACTCAAGTGGAATATCTGACATACTTCTAAGATAGAATCTCTTCTACATAATAAATTGACTGGCTGGTAGTGTAATAAACAAATCCTAATTATATTCTCCATCTGAACTCCTATGAATAATTTCTTATAGTACACCAAATAAACACATATGCAACAGTAATTCTATTAATTCTCTGAAGAAAAAAAGATGTCTTTACATTGATTTGTGACAGACCGTTGGCTTTATTTTTGTTGCCCTCAAAGTATGGGATCTCTTGCTTCATTAAGTGTGCATCATGTAAAGGGCAAGGAGTTCTACAGCTATTGAGCACAGAGTCTAGTTTTATAGCACTCATTTTTCTACTTTTTTAAAAAAGAAACCCATATAGTGCAGCTGAAATATATTCTAGGGCTGGACACAAATGAAGTAGAAGGAGGAAAAAGTTCTGAAATGATTTATCTTTGTCTCAATTTGTTACATCACAGACACTTGACATTTTAACAGAGGTGTGTAAACTTTTTATATCCGCTGTACATCGGCACCAACTTTTACTTTTATCATCACATTTGTATATTGATCACACAAATAAATGCATATTTGCTCACAAGTGAACCTCACTGTGTCGAATGCCTGTGCTGAAAGCAGAAGTGTTTCTGATCAGGCAGATGGCTACCAATTGCCTCCTCCTCCTTCCCTGCCCCATATATAACATTTCTAACAAAGTATGATTTTTATTTAGTTATGAAACATAAATTTTACCTGTAAAGTTGAAATTTGGTGCAACAGTGCTATCAGCTAGAGTAAACCATATTAAGCCCAGGCTCATACATACTGCGGCAGAAACATCTGCAATATTATAACGTTTAGCTGTGCAAGACAAAAAAGGGAGAAATCAGAATTGTTATCATGCAATGTATAAAAGTAAAACCATCAGTTTATTTAGTCTCCAAAACACATCAGGTATGTGAAAGTATCCCATTCACTATCTTTCCCAGCCTCTTTGGACCAATCCATATCTTATTTATTTCTTTGTTTATAAACTGCCCTTCATCAACAGATAATAGCATGGTAAACAATAAAACAGCTAAGTGGTCATACCATTATAATATACAGTTAAAAGTACACATAAACAAATCATAACACAGCAGTAAAACGAAGGGTCCTGCTCTTCTGCCCCACAAGGCAGGCCTATTTAGAGTACCCTGGAAAACAGAGAAGTATTTCTATGGTACCAAAATGACTGCACATTTACCACCAACAAAAAGGTGGCTGTTTCACAGAAGAGTGCCTCAAGAGACAAAGCTGCCTTGTGACTTCAGTTACAGTGAGCAAAAGACACCTTCAGAGGAACCTCCCCAATCTGTCTTAAGACACAAGCAGATCTGTACAGAGAGAGGTCTTCCTTCATATATTACATGTGCATGTTAAATTATCAATACAGTGGTGCCCCGCTTAACGAGTGCACCGTTTAACAACGAATCCGCATAGCGATGCGGATTTTGCGATCGTTTTTACGATCGCATTGCGATGTTTAGATAGGCTAAACATCGCATTGTGATGATCAGTAAGCGTTTCGCTTACCGATCTTCGCATTGCGATGTTCTAAAAACAGCTGATCGGTGGTTCCAAAATGGCCACCGGAAAAAAAATGGCCACCCGCTCCGTTTTCGCACCCTGCCCTCGCTTACTGAGGCAGCGAAAATGGCGGCCGGATGAGGAATCTTCGCTTACCGGTGAGTTTCCCCCCATAGGAACGCATTAAATGGAGTTTAATGCGTTCCTATGGGGTTTTCCATTCCGTTTAGCGATGTTTCCGGATAGCGACGTTTTTCCTGGAACGGATTAACGTCACTATGTGGGGCACCACTGTATTGCTGTTATTTCTATGTGGTCTTAAAGAACATAAAGAACAAAAGAGGTGGAAGAGGCAGATTATGTCCCTGCTTTTCAAACAGCTTTAGACCCAGGAGCCCAAAGTACTGGAGCAAGCCTATTATTCTTTCTTTCCACAGTGTCTCCATACTGTATGAATTCACTAGATTGATGTGAGGTGCAGAAGCAGGAACCACTGCAACTGAAGAAACACATGCCAGATCTTTACAATGTTAAAATGAAGGGTCCTCCTCTTCTGCCCCACAAGACAGGCCTATTTAGAGTACCCTGGTAAACAGAGAAATATTTCTATGGTACCAAAATGACTGCACATTTGCCACCAACGAAAAGGTGGCTGTTTCACAGAAGAGTGCCTCAAGAGACAAAGCGGCCTTGTGACTTCAGTTACAGTGAGCAAAAGACACCTTCAGAGGAACCTCTCCAATCTATCTTAAGACACAAGCAGATTTGTACAGAGAGAGGTCTTCCTTCATATATTAACATGCATGTTAAATTATCAATATTGCTGTTATTTCTGTGTGGTCTTTACCCACATAAAGAAGAAAAGAGGTGGAAGAGGCAGATTATCTCCCTGCTTTTCAAACAGCTTTAGAACCAGGAGCCCAAAGTACTGGAGCAAGCCTATTATTCTTTCTTTCCACAGTGTCTCCATACTGTATGAATTCACTAGATTGATGTGACATGCATGTTAAATTATCAATATTGCTGTTATTTCTGTGTGGTCTTTACCCACATAAAGAAGAAAAGAGGTGGAAGAGGCAGATTATCTCCCTGCTTTTCAAACAGCTTTAGAACCAGGAGCCCAAAGTACTGGAGCAAGCCTATTATTCTTTCTTTCCACAGTGTCTCCATACTGTATGAATTCACTAGATTGATGTGAGGTGCAGAAGCAGGAACCACTGCAACTGAAGAAACACATGCCAGATCTTTACAATGTTATTTTTCCAAAATAAATAGCATTCAAGAAGAATATGGCATACCTTGTATAAAAACGCCTCCTATCATAACAGGGATCAATTTACAACATTTGAAGATTACTTGAGTAGGATAATTCAGATATCCTAGGGAGGTATTTGATAAGCCCATTGTTCCCACTGTTAGAAAAGCTATTATCATGTAGGTTTTGCCTGGAATTCTGAAAAACATAAATGAATCTCTGTATTGGGAACAAGTAGCAAAACTAAAAAAGAGGGTTAATAAGTGTATTAATAAGCTGGTGACTTTTCTTAAAGTTAATGGAATTTATAAAAGTACTGAAATCTAATTGTTTTAAAATTGGAAATGATCAGTAAATAAACTGTTTTAATACTACCGTATTCTTAAAAATCATGTTTTTCTTTTAATCCCATTAACATCATATCCTCCCTCTTTTACAGAACATAAATTCTAAGAAATAAATAAGAATAAACTCTCTTTGACCTTCATGTACTGAAGATAATGGACATAGTGCTCAAAGCTGACTCCACCCTTTCAAACTCAGAAAATAAATCCTAACATCAGTTAATGGGATTATTTCAAAATAGCAATACAGAAGACTTAAGTATTAAAGATTTTCCAATTACCTCATATAAAACTGAATTTGACACTTCTACCTTGTGAACACTGCTTACATCATGACACAGAAAAGCTGGGCCATTAATTCCAGACATTTCTGAATATCACCCTCTATAGATGGAATTCTTTTGTGTTGTGTGTGATAGAAGCTCTCATCAGAGTGCCGTCCATGAGTAAGACCTCCAGGGAGGTGCAGACCACTCCCCCGCCAACTCCTCCCAGGAAAGTACACCAGGGGACAGACATCCAGGAACTAGAAACAAGTTTGTGGGGTCTATCAAGAGCAACCCAAACGGAGGGTGAATTGGCAGGAAGGGACGAAAAGGGGAGGTCCATGGCAGAGGCAGGAATGGGGGTTATAAACAAGGAAGACGACAGTATCCCAGGGGGCTGGGAACTCATCTGGGTAGAAGATCCTTGGACTGGGAAATGGGAAAAGGTAAAGGTACCCAGAGAAGAAGCAGACTATCGCCGAAGGAGAGGACTTCCACAATGCCCATCTTACTGGGATGAGTCCGAGGCGAAAGAGTGGAGGAGGCAACTGAGAGAGGAGAAAGAAGCAGTGGCGAGGGAAGCAGAGGAACGGCGGGCATGGCGAGCCAAGGAGGCATGGAGGATGATGTACCTCTGGGACCGTGGAGACAACTTGCAAGCGAGAGAGACCCGGTATGGAAAGGGGACGAGTATGACAAGACCTCCCCATTACTGAGAGACGAAGAGGCCGAAACTGAAGTGCCGGATTATGACCCTGGGACGTTAAATCTTTGAACCCGTTTGACTCAGAACTATGATCACCCTTGCGTGCCCCGTTGGCGTCGCAAGAGAAGTTAAAACATACATTGTTTAAAGAAGTTCTTCCTTTACAAAAAGAAATAAACACTAGTTTGGATTTTGAGTTAAAAACAGACTCCTGGTTTATTTGAGCAAAAGAGAGGGAGGAATACCAAACCTTCACATTGTGCCATTTTGCAAGGACAATGCTGCAAGTAGTGGGAGGCAGTTTGTTAGTTGTCTGTTAGTCATCCTTTGGCTGTGTGATTGATTAATCACAGGGCCAGGCATGCAGTAGTCAGCTAGCTGGCACTGCAAAAAACAATTGCGTGATTGCCTTTATACACGGTTTCGGTTTCGGTTCCTTTATTGGCATATGAACAGACGGCAGGAAAACATAGATACAAACCAAACAATAATCAAAGGGAAAAGTAAGGTGAAAAATACACTCAAAGCAATGAGTAATATCATAGGTTATGGGTTAAAATAGAAATTTCCAATAGATATCCTGCAACGGCAGATGTAATCAAAGGACAAAAATCACTCAGGAAAAAAACTAGGGAGTTGGGATAGAAAGAAAGCCATGGTTCAAGGATTGCCTTTATACACATGGTTTTTCGCAAAAGCATTTTAGTCTCTGTTAAACTAGGAGGCTGCTCTTAAAGGTCCTCTAGATCAGAGGTCCCCAACCCCGGTCCATGGACCGGTCCAGCTCAGGCCACAAACCGCTCCTTCGCGCATGCGCAGGTGGGTGCCCCGCCTCCCCCCAGCCAGTCTGTGGGGTTAAAAAGGTTGGGGAACGCTGCTCTAGATTTCAGTAGCTGCAGGCCAAGTAGACAGGAAGGAATGCCTCGAAAAGTCCTCTTCATGCATGCATGTTCCCCACACAGCTCAATGGATTCCAGGTAGAGATGGGCATGAATCTAAAAATGAACCAGGAAGTTTTCTGAAAATCTCTGGCTCATTGCTTTGGGTTGGTTTGGGTTCATCCAAACTGACTGAAACCACAAACTGTTTAAGTGGTTTTTTGAACTTCCTGGTTCATTCCCCACAGCTTGTCCCCTACCCCCTTCCCACTGCCCCCTTCACCTCTTCTATTTTGCCCTGCCACCTCTGCCTCCACCACCACCATTTTGAGAGACTATGACCTGTTTTTCCTCCCAGGAGCTGCACCTGCCATTTCTGTGCATGCACCTGCCTCTGAGCTGAAAGGCAGGTGCATGCACAGAGGCAGCCAAGCCAGCTGCCAGACTGGCTGTCTTTAATTTTTTTTTAAATTTTCTGATAAGGCAGGCTGGCCAGCTCCTGCAGACTGCCTGCCTCTGCACCTGTGCCCATGTCTCAGCTGAGAGGGCAGTGGGTAAGGGGTGAGTGTGGGTTTAGTTTCTGTTCCCCCAGGCATGAACTTTTTAAAAAATAAACTGGTTTGTGGTTCATGGGTAACCATGAACTACCATGAACCACAATTTTTGTGGCACGTGCTTGTAGTGAACACCCTGCCTTCCCATACAAGTCATGGTATTAGCCTGCACCGATGGGAGTTGTTGGGAGGTGGGAGCCAGAGTGAAACGAGGGTTAGTTAGAGTGAGACAGTTGGGAGGCTTGACAGTCAGAGAGTTAACTGTGAAGTGAGGGGTTAGGCTGTAGAGAATTAAAGTGGCCATTGAGAGTGAGGACGTTAAAGAAAGCGAACACCCTGCCTTCCCATATAAGTCATGGTATTAGCCTGTACCGATGGGAGTTGTTGGGAGGTGGGAGCCAGAGTGAAACGAGGGTTAGTTAGAGTGAGACAGTTGGGAGGCTTGACAGTCAGAGAGTTAACTGTGAAGTGAGGGGTTAGGCTGTAGAGAATTAAAGTGGCCATTGAGAGTGAGGACGTTAAAGAAAGTTAAATAAGGAATAAGTTATAAAGAAGCTAATAAATGCCTTAATGTATTTTAACAATTTACAGTATTCACATGAACTGTAATCAATAAAACTGTTTTGTGTTGAAAGTCACACAGCGTATGGACCTCAATCTTTCTGAGTAATTTGTGTTGGTAAGGACCAACTGTTGGCAGTGTGAAATAAAAAGGGAACGTGGCTTGTGTACCTTGGGTTAGTGAAACAACCTGGGGGCACGCAGGAAAAGTGGGTGCACATCACAGTGCCCATCCCTAATCCCAACTTTTTGCAAGCATTAGCTCTTCAGCAACCTAATCCTAAAAGAATGTTTCACAAAGTATTCCATTAACTGATTTCGGGACCTAAAGGCACAGTTTACATGGAGACACCTCCCACATTAAGGAACAGGACAGAAATTTCTATTCCCCACCCACTTACTTTTGGACAACCCATTAACTGTTGATAACTCTCCAAGTCTCAGGAGACTTTGGTAATCAAGGAATTTTTTTTGGAAATAGTATTACATCCCACTGCAAGCTACACATTTCCACCTTAACACAGGTTAGTAGATCAAGCCCAGCTTTATATGTAAACATTCATTCAATGCAATCAAATTTAACACACACAATATTTTTAAAATTAAAAATTGTAAAGCATATCCTACCGCCTTCTTTTGTCCTGGATAAGCTGTAGTTCTATGAGACCAAAAATGGAATAAAATCCAAATTGCACTAATGTAAGGTACCATCCAAAGGGCTTAAAACCCTCTACTGAAAAAATTAGTTCCTGTGGGGAAAACACACATTCTATTATAAATATTTTCTATACGGACATTAGCTTACTTTCACCAGAAATTACATTCTTCACATTGAACTTTTATCTGTTTCGCATGTCAGAAATAGAAACTGCATAATTCTTAGCTGAATAAATCCAGCCAATTGTCACATCAAGTTAAATTGTAGTTTTAATCATATGCTTGGATGATGAATATCCACATCTTGCACAAGAAAAGTGAGAGGTATTTTTTGGCCCATGAGGTGAGGTTCAAGTCTCTAGAAGCGATATCTCTATCTGTCTAACCCTGAGCGGCATCCAAGCATCATCATACAAAAACCAGGAGAACTCCTACTTGATCTGACCCATCTAGGCCTGCATCTTGTTTCCAACAGTAGCAAGGCTATTGTAATGTGTCCAAAGGCAATGGGCCTACCCCATTTTTTGGCCACCAGCAGCTGGTATTCAGATGCATACTGCCTCTCAACAGGGAAATTCCACTTGGCTATTATATAACCACTGGCATTTTCATGGTTCTGCTTATCGTATTTTTCGCTCCATAAGACACACTTTTCCATAAGATGCACCAATTTTTTAGGAGAAGAAAACAGGAAAATATAATCTGTTTTCTTCGCTCCATAAGACGCACAGACTTTCCACCCCCCTGTTTTGCGGGGGAAAAGTGCGTCTTATGGTGCGAAAAATATGGTAATTCCTTTTTTAAAAAAATTATCAGTGCAATCTTAACTCAAGATCCCTCAGCTATATGGGATTTCCAATAACCAGAAGCTCCTTCCCTCAAAAGAAATTCCTTTCTGCCTGCAGAATTCTACTTGCTTCTTGCTAGTTGGTATCAGGGATACGTCAAGAGAGGGATCTCCTGGCAAGAACTGCTCTGCTGGGTAAAGTATGTCAGAACAAGAGCCAGAAAGGAGGCTGAGTCAGGCCAGAGTGAGGGAAGAACCCAATTATGATAGATCCAGTCTTCTCCCAGTTTAGGGACACGGCTACTACGCTGGCACAAAGTTGGGTCAGGGCAAGAGTCTGCTGTTGTTACGTGCTGTCAACCTGCCTCTGAGTGACAGCATCCCTAGGAATGAGCAATCTCCACAATGCCCTGTCCTCAACAGCCCTGCTCAGCTCTTGTAAACCCAAGCCTTTAGGGAGTCAATCCATGTTGTATTGGGTCTTCTTTTTTTTTTCTGCTCCCAACCTTTCCCAGCATTGCTGTCCTTTCCACTGAATCTTGCATTATCACAATGTGCCCAAAGTAGGACAGCCTGAGTTTCATCAGTTTTTCCTCCAGCGACAGTTCAGGCTTGATCTACTCTAGAATCCACTTACCTCATCTTTCAGGTGGTCCAGGGTATCTGCAAAATTCTCCTATTTCAAACCAAACAATTTTTCCCTGTCAGCTTTATTTACTGTCCAGCTTTCATACCAGTATATAGTGATCACCCGGAATACAGTAGTGTACATGATCTTGGTCTCCAGTGATACATCTTTACACTTGATGATTTTTAATAATTCCTTCATTGCTGCCCTTCATAGTCTGTCTTCTGATTTTTGGGGTGCAGTCTCCATTTGGGTTGATCATTGATCTTTAACTGTTCCAGTGTCTTTATTATCAACATTAAAGTTCCGCTGTTATGATTTTTGTCTTCTTCATTATCAGCTGCATCTGCTTTGGCACTTTCTTCTTTCTCTTCCACTAAAAGTTGTTTCACGTCATTCTGCCAGTGAAACGGTGCAATATGCATATCTTCAATTATTGATGTTTCTTCCACCTACCTTTGTGTCAGCTTTTCCTTTCAATTGTTTAGACCAGGGATAGCCAAGCTCAGCAGGACTGGGGGACAATATTGGCCTCTAGCACCTGTGAAGTGGCACACCAGGCACTGAAAGGCCTGGCTGTCCATTTCTGGTTTTGATCTGGGGGTTTCATTTGAGCCAGAGTGAGTTGAAGGAGTCCCCCAACCTGTGTAATGGGAAAACCACAACTCCTAGAACCTCCTGCAGAGAAATACTCTGGGGATGGTGTGCAGCACAAATGCCCCTGAGGGGGCCGCATGCAGAATCTCCCTTTCATTTTTGTTGCCTATTGTCACACCTTTTTCGTAGTTCATATGATACCACTGAGATGAAGTAACCAAAACTCAATACAGTGGTGCCTTGCAAGATGAAAGTAATTCGTTCCGCGAGTAGTGCCATCTTGCAAAATTTTCATCTTGCGAAAAGTGGTTTCCCATAGGAAGGCATTGCAGTGCATTCCTATGGGAGCGAGTCACCAACAAATGAATTTTTTTCATCTTGCGAGGCACTGGTCTTGTGAAAAAATTATCGAAGCACTGCCATAGAAGAAGCCATCTTGCGAGTCACCAACACGGTTGCAAAAAAGTCTTGCGGGTTTTTTGTCCAGCGAGGCGTTCATCTTGCGAGGCACTACTGTGCACTATTCATGCCTTTATATACATCTGTAATATGACCAAGTTTTACTAGTGTTTCACTTTCATTTTTTCTTGATAATTTGCATGTTTTATTGAATCTACACATGATGGGACATTTCTCTGAGTACTAAGAGACAGTTCAATCCCCATCACCGTTTATGCAAAACTGGGACAAAAAACCCCAATGTGCACCATATTATACTTACTTTCATATATTCTCATTTGCCATTTTGCTGCCTATTCATTCAATTTAGTGAGAGCCTTCTATTAAAAAATAAATTCCAATGGGTATCAGTACATTGGCACAGAGTGGAAGTCCCTTTTTGTATCACTGGTGGTGCAGTTACAGACAAATCCTATGGATGTCAATGGAATTTACTCATAAGCAATTTTCACCAGGCTCTCAGACTTAATGTCATGAGTGCCTTGTTTGAGTAACCTAAAAATTAGCCATGTATATCTAGTCTTTGCTGAGATGGCCAGCCCATGTTTAGACTGTACCACTACCAACCACATCACATAATACACCTCCAAACCCCCACACAAATACTAACACACAGGGAAACTCCCTGTCAGGAAAAAGGTTACGCTGGAACTATCTCCCTAATAGTTTTCTATCTGCAAGAACCTTTTCCATGAGGAAGCATTCCAAACATATACAAACAATGTCATGTAGCACTTACTTGCAGGTAACCATAAATAAGATAAAATAAAAAGACTCCGGAAACGCAAATGAAAAACTGGGTAGCCTTGTTGAATTTGCTGAGATTAATGCCAAGGACGACTACATCATCGACTGATTTGATGTGTGGAGACATAGCTTGGGATTTTGAAGGAACGCTGATAGAAACATACTTCCGGGAGGAATTGAATTTTAGGTCCATGATTCTTAGTCTGCTTCATTCGGTGGCGATAAAAGTATTTTCTTAGCTTGGAAACTGAAAGAAACAAAACTGAATCACAACCATTTAGGTCACACAGCATTTAACTGAAAACCACTCTATTCCCCAACTCCAAGCACCACAGTTAATTTTAAACTGATTCACTCTAAGCTACAAAAAGATTTTTTTAGAAATCTTTGTCCCAGATGCTTCAATCCACTAAGCTATATCATGTATGAACAAAGAGTGACAGGTCCAAGTATAATCCAGTGATTTTCATTGTTCACGGTGGTGGTGGTAGATGACTTCAACATGGGTCTCTCAGGCCAAACATTTCACTACTACACCACAGTGTAGAATTAACACCAGGGCATTGACAGAAATTGTACATATACATTTGTCAGCTAAATTTCAGCCCATAGAACTTTTCAAGAATTGGCTTTCAATGTGTCAAAAGACCTTGTCTGGAGATTAGAAAAACACTCCCATGTTAGTTTGGCATTTTCTCATAATAGCCCCCAAATGTATGAGCATCAGGAAAGGAAAGATTCAAGTCAAAGTAGTTATATGTTTGTGAACAACAGTTTTTTTTTCCTGGTGGTATATGCTAGCTTGCAGAGTCATCCTATATATATGCACAAAGAGTAAACATGAGGATTTCCCCCCACCGTAGTGCAATGTGGAAAGCCTAATTAAAAAAAAAAAAACAAAACCAGGGACTATGTACACATTCCCATCTGTAAGTACATGGCACAATGAGAATTTAAATGATGTTGTATTCTATCTTTCAGCTAGGGTCACACTACAAATTAATGTATAAATAGGATGAAAGAATGGATGGAAGGATGGAAGGAAGGAAGGAAGGAAGGAAGGAAGGAAGGAAGGAATTTATCTGACAGAATGCCTAACTGAAAATGCTAACCATTATAGCAGTCCAGCTGCCATATAGGTCGATGAAAGAGTAAGAACACCAGGACTAATGCATGAGTTTTAAGAGGCAATGCAGGTAAAGGAAAACAGCTCAGTGGACTCTTCTCTTCTCCAGAGTCTGCAGCAGTCTGCCCAACCCTTCCAGTGCCTCACTTTATTCAAAAAAAAAAAAACAAAACCAGGGACTATGTACACATTCCCATCTGTAAGTACATGGCACAATGAGAATTTAAATGATGTTGTATTCTATCTTTTAGCTAGGGTCACACTACAAATAAATGTACAAACAGGATGAAAGAATGGATGGAAGGAAGAAAGGAAGGAAGGCATTTATCTGACAGAATGCCTAACTGAAAATGCTAACCATACATTGCTTCAAACACTTCATAGAATACTGGAGTTGGAAGGGGTCTATAAGACCATCAAGTCCAATCCCCTGCTCAATGCAGTTATCCTTATCAAAGTATATCTGGCAGATGGCTGTCTAGCTTTCTCTTGAATGCTCCCATTGTCGGAGTGCTCATTATCTTTTGAGGTAATTGGTTCCATTTATTGCACCAATTGCTTCAAAGGTGTGCTTCTCCTATTCACAGATTCTGGCTAAACACAATAGAGAGAATCCTTATGGGGAAATATGTGGAGTCAAAGGGGAATTGCAGAGCACTTCTGCTGGGCTCTCTTTGCACAACTGTCTGTGCACTGGTGGTAAAATCAGGCATGTGACCTGTCATGTGACCATTTATACAAAAGACAGTTGACCTGAAGGAGGAAAATGCAGTACAAATGATCTTGCATGCATAGATTTCTGCAACAGGATGCTGCAATTTATACTCTCCTCAATGTACATTCAAATGCCAGTTTCCTGCATATAAAAACACACAGCCTGCATTTTCTCTTCATCTTGTTAATCCAAATAAAGCAGTAATGTAGCCATTTATAGCATATCTATAAATAGATTATGTGATGTAACTGATCTAAGATATTGGAAGCATACTTGGTACAAGATCAAGCATTTTTCTTGGAAAGCCTAAGGACACTTGGCTATCATTCCTCGTGGCAGAAAAGTAACCATAGTACCTTTGTGGCAGAAGAGGTTAGTAAGCTGCCAAAACCACAGTCCATTTGCTATGCAAGTACTTCTTGATAACAGATGCTGATACCAACATCACTAAATGTCAGATAAAGGTGTAATGAGCAATGTGGTTTTCTGCGTGCACATGTAGAAACACTCTCATTCATGCTGTGACCCACAAACATCTTCAGTAAGATTGAGATGAAAATACAAAACCCTTTCATAGTTACAAACAAACAGTGAATAAAACAAACTTGGCATATAACTTTGTGTTTTCTATTGTTATGGGAGTATAACACCATTCATAGCAAGTAAAGATTTTACCCACCACTAAAGCTTCAGACAGGACATTAAAAACCTGTTAGATTCCATGCTTGGGACAATGATGTTGTTACAATAATGCAAACATTCAAGAGAAAGCAGAGGGCATTTAGATCAGTGGCGACATAAAACCAATTGACTTATCTCTGTTCAAACACAACTTATCAAAATTGGTACAAGATCATTTAGATCAGTGGTGACATAAAACCAATTATCTCTGTTCAAACACAACTTATCAAAACATTGCACTATTTTCTGTTACCCTCATCATCAATTTTTTTTATATTTATATCAAAGAATCCTATTGCTGATTTATCTTTGCATACTAGAATCCTATTGCTGATTTATCTGTGCATAAGGAAAACTACATATACTGTATCTTGGCAGCAAATTGCTACTTATTAAAGACAAGCTAAGTGCAATCTTGGGCACTTGGCAGCAAATTGCTACTCATTAAAGACAAGCTAAGTGCAATCTTGGGCACAAACTTGCTTGGACACATAGGAAAAAATACAATCAGTACTTTATTAATGAAAGACAAGACTTAGTACTCATTTGCCCACAAGATTTAAGTGATTTCTCATATGCAAACGTAAATTGGTAACAAGATGACAACCTTCAGTTATAATTCTTTTTCTTCTTTCATTAATTACAGGAATACTGTATCTCAGTGCAGAGGTACTGGGATGAGGCATGAATGTTTTTAAAAGCAACATCTCTGGGTAGAATTCCTTGCCTTGTGGCGCAGTGGTTAAACCGCTGTACTGCAGCCAAAACTGTGCTCACGACCTGGGGTTCAATCCCAGGTAGTCAGCTCAAGGTTGACTCACCCTTCTATCCTGACTGTTCCTGGTCATTTAACTAAATTCCTAATCTCAAGCAGGCTTTAGGTCCGGATACAGAAGAAATCTGAGCCTTTGAAGTCTGCTACAGGTGTGATCATCCAGGACTGAGTACAGCAGATGGAACACTGGGTGCAGCACTACTCTATATTCTAGAGGGAACTTAGTAACCGAAAAGGTATTAAATAACATTGAGTGCCTGCCTGTCTTGGAAGAGTTGAACAGCAAACCAACTTTAGCAGAAATAAAAGCAGCCTTGGATTCCTTC